TCATTGTTGTTTGGCGGGTCCGGGCTGGGGATTCGAACCCGCCACCTTAGGTGTACGTGGCTGGCACCTTAGCCGGTTGAGCTATAGGCGCCGAGCCTCTTTTCTTTTTATGAGACAGAGTCTCACTTTTTTTACCCTCAGTAGAGTGCTGTACCTTCACAGTTCACAGCAACCTCAAACTCTTGGGCTCAAGTCGTACTCTTGCCTTAGCCTCCCAAGTAACTGGGACTATAGACACCCCCTACCCCCCACAACGCCCAGTTATTTTTAGAGATGGGTTCTTACTCTTGCTCAGGCTGGTCTGAACTCCTAAGCTCAAGTAATCCTCCCTCCTCAGCTTCCCAGAGTGCTAGAATTACAGGAATGAGCCACCATACCCAGCCCTCATCTTCCTTTTCTTACACCTGTCCCTAAAACAAAGCAAACCACAGGTGATGAAATTTTGGCTCGGTGCCTGTAGTTCGGTGGCTAGGATGCCAGCCACATACATAGGAGCTGGCAGGTTTGAATCCAACCTGAGCATGCCAAACAACAATGACAACTACAACCAAAAAACAGCTGGGCGCTGTAAGGGGTACCTATAGTCCCAGCTACTAGGGAGGCTGAGGCAAGAGAATCTCTTGAGCCCAAAAGTTAGAGGTTGCTGTGAGCTGTGATGCCAATAGCACTCTACTGAGGGGGATAAAGTAAGATTCTGTCTCAAAAAGAAAAAAGGAGATGAAATTTAATATTCATCAGACTGGAAAAGTCTGGCAGCATCACTGCTGGTGAGGATATGGAACAATTTGATACAAGGACTTCATAAAAATAGTTGCCAAAATAATTTTTTTTGGGGGGGCACAGAGTTTCACTTGGTGGAGTGCCATGGGATGTTAGCTCACAGCAACCTCAAACTCTTGGGTTCAAGTAATCCTCTTGCCTTAGCCTCCCAAGTAGCTGGGACCACAGGTGCCTGCCACAACTCCTGACTATTTTTTAGAGGTGGGGTCTTGCTCTGGCTCAGGCTTGTCTCAAACCTGTGAGCTCAGGCAATCTACCCGCCTTAGCCTCCCAAGTGTTGGGATTACAGGCGTGAGCTACCATACCCAGCAAAAATATTATTTATAAAAGTGTACATACTCTCTAAGATACAGCAATTCTTCCTCTGAGTATAAACTAGAGGGGCAAAAATTTCACAAACATGTACAAGGACAGATATATACAATATTCAACTTAAATATCCATCAGAAAGAAAAACCCAAGTTTTTAAAAGTATGGTTACAGTCATTCAATGGAATACCACACAGAAAATTAATAAACTAGAGGTAAATATCAACACAAATACCATAATACTGAACAAAACTAACCAAACTGAGTTGCAGAAGAACATGCCATTCACATAAAGTGTTTTTTGCTTACTCTTTTTCTTTTCTTTCTTTCTTTCTTTTTTTTTTTGATATACAGTTTTATTCTTCTGCCCAGGCTAGCTAGAATGCAATGACATCTGCCTAGCTCACACCAACCTCAAACTCCTGAGGTCAAGTGATCTTCCACACTAGCGGGGACTAGCTGGGACTACAAGTCCCCACCATAACACCCAACTAATTTTTCTATTTTTAATAGAGACAGGGTCTAGCTCTTGCTCAGGCTGGTATTGAACTCCTGAGCTCAAGGGATCCACCCACCTTAAACTTCAGAGTGTTAGGATTACAAATGTGAGCCATTTCGCCTCATCTGCTTTTTTTTGGATTTACTGTTTATAAGAAGAGTTCCAAATATATAACTAAAGTAGACATAACTATGTATTAAACCCCATATGTACCCATCTTTAATTATTGTGCTTTATCGTCAACTTCATTCATGACTCACTTTGCTTCATATATACTATTGTCTATTTTTCTTTCCTAGTTTTAGTGAAGAAAATCCCAGATATCATATTTTATTTATAAATATTTCAGTATTTCTATAATGCTTCCTAAGGGTGATGGGCACACTTACAATTTTGATTCAAACTGCATAAAAGCAATCCATGTAACCAAAACATGTGTACCCCAGTCATATTATAAAATACTTCAGGTTTCTAAAAGATAATGATTGACAATAACTGTATCATTATCATACTTAAAAATTAGTATTTCCTTAGTATCGAATATTCAGTAAGCACTCAAAGTTCCAACTGCCTCATAAACATTACATTCTTGAAACATATTATATATTGTTTATTGAAAAATATATATGTAGTAAAAATAGCAAGAAGTACATAGAACTAATAAATACCAAATTCAGGAATATGGTAAGTTCTATGGCAGAAAGGATAAGGGATGTGCTTAGGGAAGGTTTACAGAGAACTTTAAGTATATTGACTATTTTTAAACCTGGGCGATAGATACACCTTTAGAACTACTTCTATGCCAGGAATATTTCATACTTCATTTATTAAAAATTATAAGCTTAAAAAAAGTTATGCTCTGAGTTATTAAGGCCTTGATTAGTTCTCTGATATTATGGAGATAACATCTGAACTCTGTCATGCTATAACCTTCTTTTCCAAACTCATTTCCACCAATGTTTTTTCCTTCAAGGAAAAAAGGGTTTTTATTATCATATTTATTTATTTATTTATTTATATTATTATTTTTTTGAGACAGAATCTCACTATGTTGCCCTCAGTAGAGTGCTGTGATGTCATAGCTCACAGGAACCTCTAACTCTTGGGCTTAAACGATTCTCTGGCCTCAGCTTGCCGAGTAGTTGGGACTATAGGCGCCTGCCACAAAGCCTGGCTATTTTTTTTTTGTTGCAGTTGTCATTGTTGTTTAGCAGGCCCTGGCCAGGTTCAAACCTGCCAGCCTTGGCCAACACCATAACCACTGAACTATGGGTGCCTCCCAAGGCTTGTTTTTAATACCTCCTCCACTAGAAAGTCAAAATGAAGTTCAGGAAATGTAAAGAGGTACATTTAAAAAGCACATAGGAAATATTTACATTTAAGTTCCTTATTTTAGGGGAAAAGTAATATGGAAGAAGAAAGATTAAAAAACAAAGGTAAAGATAAATTGTAAAAGGCTTTAAAGCTGTTTACTTTCCTTTTTGCTTTTTGGCTATATTACAGAATAGCATTTTTCTTTCATAGAGATGGATAGGAAATAAATTCAAACTCTCTTATATTTAGATATAAATGCTTAAATGGAAGTTACTAATGTGCAGACGGAAGATGCAGCACATTAGTAACTTTTTTCCCTTCAAGTATTTTTATTAAGCCCAGCATGGTGGCTCACGCCTATAATCCTACCACTTCTGGAAGGCAAAAGAGAGTGTATCGCCTGAACTCAGGAATTCTAGACCAGCCTGAGCAAGAGGGAGACCCTGTTTCTAAAAAAATAGCTGGGCATTGTCATGGGCGCCTGTAGTCCCAGCTACCTAAGAGGCGGAGGCAAGGAGATCACTTGAGCCCAAGAGTCTGAGGTTGCTGTGAGCTATGACACCATGGCACTCTACCAAGGGCAACAAAGTGAGATTCTGTTTCAATAAAAGTGTTTTTATTTATTCATACTTAATGCATTTTTTTTTTTTTGAGACAGAGTCTTACTACGTCGCCCTTGGTAGAGTGCTCTGGCATCACAGCTCACAGTAACCTCAAACTCTTGGGCTTAAATGATTCTCTTGCCTCAGCCTCCCAAGTACCTGGGACTACAGGTGACCACCACAATGCCTGGCTTTTTTTTTTTTTTTGGAAATGTCCAGCTCTGGTGTATGTGGCTGACGCCCTAGCCTCTGAGCCAATACTTAATGCATTTGAGCCACATAACTACAGGACAGGAAAGTAGATCAGGAGTTAGACAACCTGCATTCAACCTCCTGGCCTCCCACAACCTGGATTCAAATCTTGGCTCTACTACTTCTTTTTTATTATTTTTTAATTCTTTTTATTTTTTGAGACAGAGTCTCACTATGTTGCCCTCAGTAGAGTGTTGTGGCGTCAAAGCTCACAGCAACCTCAAACTCTTGGGCTTAAGCTATTCTCTTGCCTCAGCCTCCTAAGTAGCTGGGACTACAGGTGCCTGCTACAATGCCTGGCTAGACTCTACTACTTCTAGCTGCCAAACTTTGGCAAGTTATATAATATAGCCTGTCCAAGCTTAAGTTTCCTAATCTGTGAAATCAGAGGAAACCACAATTGATACCTCACAGGGCTGCTAAAGAATCATCTATGTAAAAGTGCTTGACAAATAGATGGCACGGAATAAACACATTAAGATGTTAATCATAATATTTCCATTTTGCAGCTGTGAAAATTCAGGCCCTAAGTAGTAGAGCAGAGCAAAGCTAAACCCCTTAGTCTTACTGCAGTGACTTTACAAAAATTCCACAATGGTTCGAAGATCTCAGAATATTTTCCCCTGAAATTTTGCATGACCATTAATTTTCCTCATCTTAAACAATGGCTAATGCACAACTTACCATATTTAGTAATTCAGGGCCCTTGACTGATATAAAATTTAGTCCAGATTCATTTGCCACAGCCTAGCAAGAAAAAAAGAAAAAGAGGGAAATAAGACAAATGTACAATAAAATAATGACAATAATTAGTGGGAATGCAAGGACGTTTTATGGTTTTAGCTCTATTTTTCCATTTTGTAGTTACCTCGTTCTCTTAGAAGAAATACAGACAAATGGGAAAAGGAGAAATAGGTAAAAGAAAAAATTAAAGGAAAATAAATTAACCTACAGCTTTCTAAGAATTAGTAATAACACAGGCTAAATCACATAGAAATGACAAAAAATATTTAGGAAAATGCTTTATTTATATAAACCTGCTTACGTAAATACATTTAGAGTCACAGCTTAGAATTCCAATGAAGTCCTAATGTCTGTACTCCAGAAATGACTTGTGTGATAAAAGCAACCACTAATTTACTTACAAACCAAAATTTAAAAATGTCATTATCAGTCTTTACCAAGTGTCCAGGTTGAGAATCACAGTTATACATGTATGTGTGAAGAGTCAGTACTGTACTATCAATGTGCAGATGAGACCTGAATAAAATGGCTTAGATGGGTGTCATGGCTCATGCCTATAATCTCTTTTTTTTTTTTTGAGACAGAGTCTCAAACTGTCACCCTGGGTAGAGTGCCACGGTGTTAGAGCTTGCAGCAACCTCTAACTCTTGGGTTCAAGCCATCCCCTTTCACCTCAGTTTTTGTATTTTTAGTAGAGACAGGGTCTCGCTTTTGCTCAGGCTGGTCTCAAACTCGTGAACTCAAGCTATCCACCCGCTTCGGTCTCCCAGAGTACTAGGATTACAGGCATAAGCCACTATCCCCAGCCCATGCCTGTAAGCTCAGAGATTTGGGAGCCTGAGGTGGAAGGACCACTTGAGCCCAGGAGTTTGTGATCAATGGTGGCAACATAGCAAAAATTTAAAAAAAATAAAAAATAAAAAAACCAAGCTGGGCAGGGTTGCTCATGCCTGTAATCCCGATAATCCTAGCATGCTGAGAGGCCAAGGCGAGACAACCTTGCCTTTTATTTTCTTTGGCAGAGTCTTACTTCATCTTGTCGCCCTGGGTAGAGGACTGTAGCATCACAGCTCACAGCAACCTCAAACTCTTGGGCTCAAGTAATCCTCTTGCCTCCTGAGTAGCTGGGACTACAGGCACCTCCCACAATGCCTGGCTATTTCTATTTGTTTTATTATTTTTTAAAATTTGTATTTATTTATTTATTTTTGTTTAGCATGCCTAGACTGGGTCTGAACCTGCCTCCCCTGCTACATGGGGCTGGCACTCTAACTACTGAGCTACGCACACCCTCCCCCAGCTATTTTTAGAGACAGGATCCCATTCTAGCTTAGGCTGGTCTCAAACTCTTGAGCTCTAGCAATCCACCTCTGTTGACCTCCCAGAGTGCTAGGATTACAGGCATGAGTCACTATGTCCAGCTTAGAACATCTTTATGGTAGAACACTATACAGGCATTAAAAATATTGATGTGTATCAGTATATGCTGATACGGGACGATGTCCAAAAATAAAGCTAGGTGAGAAAACATTAAATTTGTATTAGGCATGGTAGCTCACACCTATAATCCTAGCACTCTTGAAGGCCAAGGCCCATGGATTGCTTGAGATCAGAAGTTTGAGAGCAGCTGGGACTATAGGCACCTGCCTCAATGCCCGGCTATTTCTCTACTAAAAATAGGAAAAAAATACTAGCAGAGTGTCACTGTGGGTGCCTACAGTCCCAACTATTTGGGAGGCTGTAGCAAGAGGATCACTTGAGCCCAAGAGTTTGAGGTTTCTATAAGTGATGACGCCACACCACTCTACCCAGGGTGACAGAGTGAGACTGTTTCAATTAAAAAAAAAAAAAAAGAAAAGAAAACTTAGATAAATATCTAGAAGCAGCAGTGGTTAGTAGCAGGCAGTAGTGGGAGAAGTACAAGCAATACTTTTCCCTTTGATTATTTATATTTTCTTTTTGTTTGTTTGTTTTTTGAGACAGAGCCCTCAAGCTATCCCCCTGGGTAGAGTACTGTGGCATCACAGCTCACAGCAACCTCCAACTCCTGGGCTCAAGCAATTCTCCTGCCTTCACCTCCCAAGTAGCTGGGACTACAGGAGCCTGCCACAACACCTGGCTATTTTTTGGTTGCAGCCCTCATTGTTATTTGGTGAGACCGGGCTGGATTCGAACCCACCAGCTCAGGTGTATGTGGCTGGCGCCTTAGCAGCTTGAGCCACAGGTACCAAGCCTATTTATATTTTCTTGGTTTTTTTTTTTTT